GTGGCATCTGGGCATTGTTTTACTCAAACGAGCACTGAATATAATGTCAAAATTCATCGCACGTTTAACCAGATAAAATATATATATTGTGTAACTTCATTATCTTCGGAGTCAACACATGCTGAGTAGCTATGTGCTGAAAATATTAATGCAAAATTAAAAATGTATTTCTTCTGTTATTTCTACCCACAGTTAAAATGGCCACCAGCCACCTCTCTGTGCCCGTGGCTACCACGGTGCAGAGGGCAGACATACACCGCATCTGTCACCAGAAGATGCTATGCTCACTCTGCTGGGATATGTCTGCTGACCTCAGCTGAGGTCAGTCTTTCAGTGTGGACTCCTGCTGGGATTAGAAACGGAGAGAGGGTACCTCAGGTAACACTACACCAGAGGTTCACTCACTACCTACATAAAAAGCCACCAATGGTAAGTCCCCAAATTATGCTCAGTAAACTAGATGGAAAATTCTGAGGCCCTCTAAGACAGAACACACGTACTGGCTCACAGGATCAGGGACCATTTAAGAACAGCTAGTGGGTATGTTCCACCTGTGGAACTGTGACGAGTACACTCCACTGGCACTACCTTGTGTCCCAACACGCCACCATTCTAAGCGCACTACTGCGCACTGATGGCGCCTCCCCTTCCTTAATCTGTGCTCAGGTCCCCAGGAGGGTATGTTTAACAGGGCTTCAGAAACGCCACTCAGTCCGGCTCTGCTGCAGCCATCAGTGAGAGGCACCCGCCCTGCGGGTCACACTGCGGACTCCTGCTTGCGTCAGGAAGGAATGGGCACAGGGGCATGGAGTAGTTCACTCATGAAGGAATGGGGGGATTGTAGGCATGGAATAGTTTACTCATGTTTCCAAAATTAGTCTTTTCTGCCTGCTCAAATAGTCCTTGTGTTCATAACATGAGTAGGACTCAGATTCCTCTGCATCCTGACACCCCAGAAGTGACAAAGAGGATCCATCTCTGTGGATGACGTGGGGGAATGAATGGGGTGCATCCTCTGTCAAGTGGAAGAGTGAGGCCAGCAAAAACAAAGCTAACACACAGCACCAAAACATGATATCCACAGCTTTGCACAGGCTTCTGATTCGAAGGCCCTTAGTACTAGAAAATGTAAATACCATCACCGCAGCTTCTTGTGGTTGGGGGTGTGTGTGAGGACCGGCCGACTTCAGGCACTGTCCTCAGGAGCCACTCACCCTCTCATCATTACAGTTTTAAATAACTCCTTATTACGCTGGAAACAAGATACATAAACTTAGAGCATAGCACCTAAAACAGCTGTCCATTCAATGCTATCAAGATGTGTGAACTCACTTTCAAATTCTATTAGCTATACAAGGCAATAAATGTCAGTAGCTAAAACTTCTCAGTTAAAACCCGGTGGGTGGCTGGAGCAATGGCCCAGCAGTTAAGGGCACTTGTTGCTCTAGCAGAGGACCTGGGTTTGGTCACCAGTACCCACATGTTGGTACATAAGTGATGGGATTCAAGACTTTCTTTCAGCCTCTGAGGACGTTCAGGCACACACATGATGCACAAACATACATGCAGGCAAAATACCCAGCCAAAAATAAGTAAAAGTTCATTAAAATACACACACACACACACACACACACACACACACACACACCACTGGTTACCTGTCAATATGTCTCTTAAGAAACACCAATGTTGTCTGGTGCAGGTGGATACACCCTGAGTCCTAGTTACCAAGGAAGCTGAGGCAAGAGGACTCCCTGAGCACAGGCGGCGAAGGCCAGCCTAGGCAACGCAGCAATGCTAACTCTTAAATTTTATTCAAAAATGAAAAGAACTACATCTCTGTGTGTGTCTCTCTCTCTGTGAGGGAGCACCTGTAAGCCCTTGTTTAGAAGTGGAATTCACGGAGCACGGCACACTGATACACCAAGCACAGTTCATGGTACTCCAGTCACGAAACGGTCCTTCCTATCTCACTCATGACTCTTTTACATAATGCAAACAACCAAAAATTACACAAGGGAGAAGGCTGCCCAAAGTCTGCAATGGCTAGCTTACTTACACGCTCTCCTATCTTTGTTATAGAAAGGTTCACATTCCTGCAAGACTCTACTTGAGGCATTTTCTCAGCTCTCCGCTGCAGAACGTGTTTTCTGCACGTTTGCTGTTTCCATCCACACATACAGTCTTGAGCGACGCAGTGGTTATATTTGCTTTTGCCTTTGCTGGACATCCATAAATTGCACGTAGCCTAAAGACTCCCACAGATAGCACAATTAGTTGATGGTCACTAGACATTCACTTGTACAGAACACATTTATCAAAAAGCCCTACAGCATTCCTAAAATTTAAACATCCCCTTCTTCATGAATCTACTTTTTAAAGATTTTTAATAACTGACTTTTATGTGAATTGGTGTTTTGCCTGCATGTGTGACTGTGTGATGGTGTGAGCTGCCATGTGGGTGCTGGGAACTGAACCGAGTCCTCTGGAAGAGCATCCAGTGTTCTTAACCACTGAGCCATCTCTCCAGCCCTACTCATCTGTTTGCTTTTCAATAACTCTTAATGAGTCATCCTTGGCTCGCCTGAACCAAAGATAGCTCAGAGCTATTCTATTCAAGGAGTTTTGAAGGTATATTTTAAAATCTGTTAAATAGTTCTCAAGTAAAGAAGAACACTATGTATTCTGAAAATGAGTCAGCACTCCAATTCCATGCTAAAACCTAACCTATCACAATGACTTCAAATGATTCTCACTCCGAAACAGGTATTGTTTCTGACTTTCAAACAATAGCGAAGGAGAAACCATGCTTTAAACAGAACAATCATTGCAACTGTCAAAAAGGGGAGTAAGACGTCACCACACCGTTGGCTACTGCACTTCCTACTTCGTACACTGGGAAAATAGTTCGTCGATAGTGTTTACCATGCAATTATGAGCACCTGAATTCAATGCCCACAACCATCTAATAGCAAGGCATGTCAATGTTCGAACACAATTCCAACTGGTCAGTCTAGACAAATCTGAAATTTTCAGGTCTAATGCAAGGCCCTGCCTAAAATAAAGTGACGAGCAACCGAGTCAAACATTCATATTTACCCCTGACCTACACACAGACACATAAACACATATTCTCTCATGTATGCACATACAAACCTCCCATGTATGTATGGACGTGTGTGTGTGTGTAGGTGTAGGTATTTGATTAGGATGCATGAGGCTATAGGTTCAATAACTAGTATTTTAAACAACCTCCCCTAAAGACTTATTTAATTACTTTATTAATCTAGTTACAAAACCAACAAACAGACCTCTGAGGCTGGAGAGATGACTCCAGATGGGTCAGAGCACCGGCTGTTCTCCCAGAAGTTCCCAGCCTAAGTCCAGCTCTAGGAGACCTGACTACCTCTTTGGCCTTCAAGAGCAATACATTCATGTGTACATACCTAAATAGAGACATACACACATAAACAAAAATAAATCTATAAAAGCAATAGTAATGGAACTGGACAGATGGCTCAGCGGTTAAGAGCATTGGCTGCTCTTCCAGGACTCAGGTTCAATTCCCAGCAACCACATGGTGGCTCATAACTATCTGTAACTTCAGTTCCTGGGTTTCTGATGCCCTCTTCTGGCCTCCACGGGTATTGAATGCCCATGGCACATAGATGTAGATGGAGGCAAAACACACATACATGTAGGATACATCAACAAACAAAAATAACAACGACAGAAGACAGTGAGTCTCTTCTTTATAGAATTTAATGTAGAACAAGAGAAGACTTAAAAATCTTAGATGATAGAGGAATCTGAACGTAGCTGGAAATGCGCGCGCAGTGCAGAGGCCAAGCAGCAAAAATTTACAACACCCAGTCGGGTGTGGTGGTGCTTTGGGAAGCTGAAGCAGGAGGATGGAGATTTCCAAGTACAACCTTAGTACGTCAGAGTCTGACTCAAGAATTACATACAGACACGCTTACCTTAGACTCCTCATACCTGGGTCTGCTAAAGTATTCTGAAGTAAGACCCAAAGACACTAAAACCTAGAAGACACGTCCACCAGACAAAATTATGTCTCTCACAAGTGACACTTTGTTTCAGCGGTAACTTGATTTTATGACAGAATAAACTTCCCTCTGAAAGAATAAATCTGTGAACATTTCCTTCCTTACCTGCATTTCAGCTAACACGAATCACACACCACGACTACTTCTCTTAAGCAGCCACTCACCCACTTTCATAATCCAAACATGAGATTCAGAAAAAACTACGAACACTTAGTATGGCCCAAATGCCAACAGAAGACAATGAAGTATGACTTTCATTCTGAAGAGCAGGAAGTCTGTAGGTGGTACAAGCTTTTCAGAAATCTGCTGCACTGTATTACATTGAAATGTTACTCTGTGCTGTGTCATATCCGGGTAACTTAGCACTCCTCCTGCATTACGACTGAGGAAAACCTATCCACAGTTATTTAGATTAAAATGCTAAAGACACCAGCAACACAATTTAATCCAACACATAAATTCTGAATAAGCAGGCGCTATGGGCGAGTCCTCTCCATTCTGACAGCAGACTCCAGCCAGGGGCTGATTCACCTGTAGTCAGAAAATATGTGTAGTCCCTGAGCGATCTGAAAACATAAACATCCGTGCTCCAGCACACCCTGGGCAGGGCTAGGCTTCAGTAAACAGCAATGCAAGTTCGTGCACAGGGGTGGTAGCAGGGCTCACTTTATGGAAAGAAGTTCTCAAAGAGAACGTGTCACATCCAGTGCCCATTTCCCTTCAAATTTTGTAACTTAAGTCAAGTTCCATGGAAATCTGGGATGGATATTAGACTGCTTTATCAGTGTTTCTAACATTCAAATAAAAAATGTTATAATTTGAAATTTTACTACATATATTTTCTTAAATGCTTATAAACACAAATGCTATCAGTCACTCCCTACAACAGATATAGGACATCACCTCCCACAACTGAGCACAAACACAAGCCTCTGACATCAACTTCACTTTAATTACAGGTAGGACTGCACTTTGGAAACTCTGGTGCGTGATCAGTGTGTGCTCACATGGAGGGTCTTGGAGAAATGCACATCACTGTTCAGAAAAGCAAAAAATGGCTTTGTACAAATATTTTGGAAAACCCTCAGTTACGTAAGTAGTACCAACACAATTGTAGTACAGTTTGCACCTCAGGAGGCACTGGAGCAGGGTTCTCAGGAATCCGGGTACTTCATAACGGCCTCCTGGCTCCCAACAGTCAGAGGCCGCGTCTTTGGAGTAGAGTTGGAGGCTCCCAGTCCGCTCAGTCACTGGCCGCCCCTGCCCTGCCGCCAGCAGCCTCATCACTCTCCTTGTCCCAGTCCTTCATACTGGCTCCCATCATGAAATCATCTCGCAGAATCTTCCACCCTGGGCCCTCTTCTGATTTGGCTTCAGTCTGAGAAAATGTACAGAATCAAGATTTTCACATATCCATTTAATCATAAGGAAAAAACTGAAACTTATATACTTCAAAACAAACTTTTCAATGTGTAGTTTTAAATGAGAGTAAACCAAGGTAACATAAAACTGATTTTATATAAAATGCTCATGTATATACAAACACAGAGTAAAGTGAAAAAATTTTATTTCACCAATGAAACATGAAAGCAAAATAATTTGGAGTTGGGAGAAATGCAGTAAAATATAGACTTGGTAACAATTCTTAACCACTTGGACAACATTAATTAACCTCCAGTGATAATTTATTAGAAAATCCTTGGCAATTATTTTAACAGATGTCTAACAAAGGTGTTTAACCCCAACTGCACTAAACAGAGAAGAGGCCTGAAGGGAGTTCAAGGTGGTACCATGTCCAGATTTTGTAAAAATGTGAACAAAATACTCCTCATTCTGGTCACGGTCTCACTACCTGACACATTATGGAATCAGAGACTAAATAATATGCCAAGATTATAAATAACTGAAGCAGGCAACAAACTAAGTAGCCGGTTCACTCCATTCTGACACAGGATTGCCTACTTAGAGCTAAGTACACAAGCCTTCCTTTCATGGTAAAACAGCACCATCTTGTGGCACTAAGTAAGTAATGCAACCCATTTCTCTGATAACCCTTGTCCGGCACTCCTGTGACAGGAAGTGCAGCCAATCTGTGCAAATCTATCACATTTGGGGCCCTATCGAAGTAGTAAGCATTTTAAAAGAAAAAAAGACATCAGAATGTTCGCATGGTTTCACAAGCTAATTACCTAACTGTTGAAGCTTCACCGTTACGTATCAAGGGGAAAAAGGTCCTACTGCATCACTTCTAGATTTTTGTGATGAAAACTAAAATACGACTTGAACCAAGGGGCAAGGAAGGCATCATACAGACTTGGCAGATGGGAACTGACTTCGTATTGGACAGGCATCAGACTGACAAGTATCAGACACCCAGCTGCAATGATCCTAGTGCAGAGAACCAGAAACCCTGCGCTGTTTGTGGACACCACAGGGCAAGGCTTGCCATGCTGCAGACTGGTGTGCAGCCAGGCCCTCTTACCCCAGGCTTTCTCTAGCCCACATTCCCCCTGCTGGTCTCCTTAAGAAATAGCTGCTCCTGATAGGCACCTGGGATCAACAGTCACAGCCAAGTTAATTACTTAAAGCTTTCAATGAAAGAGAAAAAAGGGATTTGAACTAGGGTCTCATGCTACAACCCAAGTTATACTGAAAAAAATTATTTTAGCCCAAGCTGGCCTCCAACTCATAACAATTCTCCTGCCTTAGTCTCCTAAATTCTGGGATTACAAGCACAAGCCACCACTCTCTAGTTACAATTCAATTTTTTTTTTAAATTTATCAACAACTTAGAATTATAAAATGCAGTGAAAAAGCAAAGTGCTTGGTGATTTCAAGTTCCTGGTGTATTACCCTTTGAGAGTCAATAACAATAGACTGGTAACCCAGATAGTCTTGGGGTTTTCAAACTTGTGTTATTTTAAACAGACTTCAAAGTCTATAATTTGAATAACTAAAATTCATGTTTAAAGAATAAAATATAGCAAGCTTAGCCTACAGGAACAGGCAACAAAAACTTAAATTCAGATTCACTCAGTTTTAAAGTGCCCATTAGAGACATGAAGGGTAACCAAGGCTGGCTTGAAGCTAAAACACACGGGATGAGGAAGGGTGAGAAGATCAACTAAGAAATCATATACAAAAAGAGGCAAAGAGAAGAAAAAGAAAGGCAGAAACCAGTCCAGGAGGCTGCAGAACAGCAGTTCAAAGAGAAGATCAGAGCAGAGGCTACAATCCATGCTTTGGAGTCCAATGTTCACACACATTATTCCTCAAGTGTAAGGAGGGAACGGGCACAAAGGTACTTCCCTGCAGTCCTTGTCAGAAGGACTCCAGAGGACAGAAACCAAAACAGGATGTCATCAGTGCAGCCAAGGAAGAAGAAAGTTCTAGAATAACTTGACATCAGGCCTAAGGGATGCCTGCAGCAGTAACTTCAAGGACAAAGATCCTATCACCCAGCCACCAGCCTTTCTGTCAGTACTGGACAAAGCCTGGAGGTGTCTTCACTAGCAAGAGAGAATGGAGCCAAAATGCAAGAACCAGAAGATGCAGGACCCAACGTGGGAGCAACTCCAGATGGCACAGCAAATAATTTAAATAGCAGAAAGGTAACCAGGGAACAATCCGAGAGATCTCAAAGGAGAATGAGGCCTTCCAGAGAGGATATCCCAATAGGAATACAGGGAAGTATGGAGGCCCCTGGCTTAGAAGCTGCAGAGTGGAAAAAGAACACCAAAACCCAGCTTTATATTAAAATAAATGAGTTGGGGGGGGCGGGGCGTGACTTCCAAAACTACATACGCACAAAGAAACCTTAAAAGCTAAATAAATAAAGTGAAAACACACACCCAGACCACCCCTTCTCCAGCTTCCAGGTCTCTTCTAGGTTCATCCTGCCAAGGACGATGGGATCTTTTAACCATGATTTCACCACAATTTAACTTTATTCACCGTGCTGTCCAGTCTGCACGTGTGGCTAGATGCTTCATAGCACACTTTCAACTCTCTTGCCAGGTAGGAATCACCACTCTCATCTTATGCAAGGAAACTGAGGCTCCACGATGCGAAGCAGTTTAGTCAACTCCAGGAGTTAATGGATAAGTCAGCCCTGAAGCATGGAAAGACGCTCCCAAGTCCCCATCTCTGCACAATTCACGGGAATGCACTATAATGGTGCACCATAATCTCTAAGACGTTCTATCACAGCAGCCGCACAGCAGAATCAATGCTAAAATATGCAGAAAATGCCTGACTAGGTTTAAGTTCTTGGGGCGGGGGGTGGGAGGGGAGTTGCAGGGGGATCCACATGGCTCGTGTATATGGCTGGGCTCAAACTTAACTATGAAAGGCAAGGATGACCCTGAACATCTGATTTTCCTGCTTCTACCCCTGACTGCTGTGATTACTGGCATGTGCCACCACACATGGCTTCTGACATTCGGGACTAAAATCCAGACCTTTGTGTATACTGGTCAAGAACCCTGACAGCTAAGCTACAACCCCAGCCCCTGTTTACAATAACCTCTATACAAATTATAATCTGAGCAAATTACATTGCTCTTATGAGTGTTTCATAAACAATCTTAGCACTGAGCACTCTACTTAGAGTATCCACAATGAAAAGATAAACCGGATGATCACAAGTTAACACAAGAACAGGACCAGGCACGGTAGGACGTGCCTGTCTATAATCCCTGGGAGTTTGAATTGAGGTCAGGGTAGGCTACATAGTGAGACTCTTATCTCAAATAAACAGACAAAATAGCCACAGGAGAAAGGCTGAGGTGAATTCCAGACGTGAAGCTATCAGAGGCTGGCAAGATGGTTTAGCAGGTAAACAGAAATAAGATGATGGCTGCCAAGCCTGATGACCTGAGTTCAATCTCAGGATCCACATGGTAGGAGAACTAACTGACCCTGCAAGTTGTCCTCTGACCTCTACACATGTGCAGAGGCATGTATATACAACTAGTAAATAAATCCATGTGATTAAAAATATTTAAAGATACGACAACAAAGAGCTTAGTTTCTTTACAATAAAGAAGTAGCAACAATTTGATTTATTATTTTTAAGACAAGAACAAAACTCAAGAGACTTCTATACTTCCTTGAAGAAATTGGTGCAGGAGAATTGTCTGTATTCTGTCAATCATGTTTTAAATAAACGCTGATTGGCCAGGCAGGAGATGTAGGCGGGAAAACTAGACAGGAAATGGAATGATGCAAGGAGAACAGGAAAATTCTGGGAAGGAGGAAGTTGATTCCTCCCACTCCTGCCCAGACCACGAAGCAGCAGGATGTGACTTGCCAGCTGGAAAAGGTACTGAGGTGGTTAAAATAGGTCAGAATGATGGGTTAATATAAGCTACAAGAGTTAACAAGAAGCTTGAGCTAATGGGCCAATCAGCTTTATAACTTATAGAAATCTCTGTGGTTGATTTTCTCTGGGGCTTGCAGGCTGTGGGGTACAGGGCAGGACAGAAACCCCAACAAGCAGGCTCCTTCATATTACAAGAAATGATCAATTCTTTAACTGGGTTTAGAGGTAACTGTAGTAAGACTGGGTTTTGCTGTTGTTAGAAATCAACAAACACCTTAAAGGGAAGGATTTACTCAATCACGGCCTCAGCGCATCATGGCTAACACCAAGGTAAAAATAACGAACTCTAGAGTTAGTCATGTTACACACGTCCAGCTGGATTTAACCTTAGCAGGAGCTACACAAGCTTTGTGTTGCTGTAGACAAACAATGCCAAGGAAGGGAAGGGTAACTAAGCTCGTGGTTTGAGCCTGCATCCACGGCCAGTAGCTTCCATTGGATGGTGAGGTAGATCTCCACAGTGAGGCAGAAGAGCAGGATGGGAGTACAGGATGAAGGGAAAAAAGGTATGGGGGTCTCAGCAGCTCATTAAGGTCATGCCACCAGCAACACAGTTCTCCGCATATAAGCTCAACCTCTTCAAGGCTCCACCACCTTCTAAGAGCTCTACAGGCTGTGGCTCAAAGCTTTGACCTGCAACCTTTGGGGACAGAAGCTGGGGACACAGTGCTGTAGTTTAGACCTCAAATGTCCAATTGTGATGGCGTGGTGACACGTGCCATGTTTCTAACCACTGGAAAGCTAAAACAGCGAGATCACAAATTCAAAGCCAGCCTCAAACGAGCAAGCAAACAAATGTGTGCAATTTCCACATCAAGTAATGGATAAGATCAAGAAACTAGGTAGACATGATGAAGAACTAGAGAGCGGAGAGAGAGCTTTCAAGTTACTGAAATTAAGTGACCTTTAACTCTAGACCAAGTCAAATGTACAGAGCTCTCAAAGAAAATCCAATTCTCCCGCGCAGAGCTGCTCCTCCTGAAGCACAGGCTCTG